GGGATTGAACTCCAGCCCTTGTGCTTGTGAGGCAGGCAGCAGATGTAAATGTTTAATTAAAGCATTTATTTAAGTAACTGTTCTTCATCACATTCTGCTTGGACTTAGGTTAACTGATAAATCCCAACCTGAAATTCTTTTTCTTCTGAACCTACCTTTATCTTTCGTGCTTGACAATTTCATAGGATATAGAATATTAGGTTCAACAACTGTGCCATCAGGACTTTGAAGAAGTCTTTCAATATTCTTGTGTTAACAAACTTAAATGCCATACATAGTCTCTTACCGCAGAAACCAAAAATGCAAATAAAGACAGATAGTGGGAAATATGGAAATAGATCTGTTGCCAATGGGAAGGGCTCCGAGAGTTGGAGGAAATGGGGAGGGAGGAGAGGGAAAGGAGATGAAAAAAGAACTGGTAGATGTTATGTACACGTACCAATTCCCCATAAGCATGCACCATTACACAATAAAAATTAAACAATTAAAAGAAAAGGAAAAACAGCGTGGAAAACAAATCTCTCTAAATTATCAAGCAGTATCAAAAAACATCATCAAAGCTTGATAAAAATTTTTCTGAATGACAAAAGTTATTACTAAAAGAAGTATTACAAGTATAAACAAAACTCGAAAAGTAGGCACAGGGAGATGAAAGTACTTTTCTCAGAGTAAATTAAAATTCTTAATCTTTAGTAGCAGAAACATAAGATTGCTTTACCTGTTACGTCTACAATAAGTGAGCAGAAAAGTTCATACTGATAAGAATTCAGCCTCATTTTCCTTTTAGGAGCGTAGTGAGACCGGCACATCGAATAAAACAGACGAGGGTTTCAATGCTGATTGTGAGCAATTTATTTCAGCTGTCTGAACCTCCGTTGGAAGAATAAATTAGAGTGAAGATAATGAGCTCAGCATAGTATTTTGCATATAGTAGGCTCTTAATGAGTAACCATCAATATAGCTTTAAAATAAAATTTTGTATATTTTGGAACGCTTTACATGTTGTGGAATACATACAGTAAAATAGTTACTAGAGTGAGCTCAATTAACATACCATCCTCTCCCACAGTTACTCATGTTTGAGAGCAAGTTACTAAAATCTACCTATTTAGTCAAGAACCCCAAATACACTACAAACTTGTTCACTTTGGCCCTCATGTTGCCCTTTATCTACATATCTGCTACTTTGCCTCTTTTGACTGTTTTCCCTCCCTCCCCGTAACCACTGTTGGATTCTCTGTCGCCGTCCACTTCTTTAATTCCTATTACTTACAGGTTCTTTTTGAAACAGGAGCTCTGCACTTGGTAAGGTTGGTGACACTGTATTCACCAGGGCGGTGGCTTCATTATGGAAGTTGCAGAACGGGAAGGTCTGCTGTTTTACATTAACTTTTAGTGTCATTAACTGACTGAGTAAAAAGGCAAATCATTTCCAAAAAGGAATTTCCCAACTTGGGGGAGGAAGCACGGAACACTGGTTCCCAATCTGTTATACCCTGTTCCCTGGAGGGCCCCCAAAGTAACAATTAGTATCTTGGACTTAGATGAAATGCTTCAAAAATGTTTTACCAGAAGCTAAATAATATGCTATATTTCTTTGCTTTTGTTTGAAATAATGTTAACTCACTTGTGGAATAGGTTATTATTATTTTTTGTCTCATCCTCTCTAATTGATAGTTTTACCTGCCTTAGTTAATTAAAATTGGAGATTGCATTTACTACTTATTAATGAAGTTCTTTTAGTAGAAACAATTCTCTGATGAAGTGGAGCCACATAAAGAAAATACCAGGAGTTGCCTCTTAGGAAATTTCTTCCTTATACCTCTGGCTGCCATAAAAAAAAGGGGGTTCCTCTAAACATAGTTGGTCTTTGTCAACCCTTAGACGTCTCATGGAGAGAACTGGGCAACCAGAGCCTGGGAGGAGGGACAGGCTCTGCTCAGCACGGCCTCTTTAGATGAGCAAGTGCTGTACTATCACATGGGACAGAGGCTCTGACAACTCAGTGCCACCTCTTGCGGACAGGTAAATTCAGACTGGGAGGTCCAGAGGCTGAAAAAGGTCATCGTCATGATGCAGCAAAGCCTTATTTTCTCTTCTCAGCTTTAAATTATATCCATCTAACCACCATCTGCTCCATTTTTTAAAATCTCAAAATAGTACTAGGTGGGAATGACTGCACTCAGCCTTAGATAACACTGAGGCAACTTGTTAAACAATTACATCAACTAAAGGCGATAAGCAGAAATGTGAAAATTTATATTTAACATAACAATATCTGGCTACCCTACCAGACAGAGCTTATAACACATAATTAACACAGTTTGGTATCTGTAATAAAATTCAATTGAACAATAAATTGACATGTTTTGATTCTCTTAGCAACCTGTCTAAATCTCCAAAAAGTGATGAACTCAGCAGTAAAGCCCCCAGTACCCGGCCTCACCTCCTTGTCCTGAATTAGGAACTTTCATACTTACAGGGATCAATCCACATACTTCCCAGTATTAAGAATTTAGCAACAGATTTGTAGCTGCTGTTTTGCATAGTTCTTTGCAAAATCTTTCCATTCTGACCCATGGAACAAAGACTTGGATGAAACCAATTAAAAAATCAATATAAAAGAATGTACGGTCCAGTTCAACCTAGAGTAACTTTGGAGGATTAGAACATACATTAATATTTAACATCAGTGCTGATCTTAATATGTCAAAGCTTAATTCTTCTGCTTAATAAGGTTAAATAAGTTAATAAAATACAATATCTCATAGATATCTTCCTGAAGTCTAGATTTTTCTAACAGCATGTTAACTGAAAATAATTTTTAGAAACTATTATAAAAAAAAAACAGGATTGTTTTGTTCAGGATAGTATAATTTGATGTTATTCTCTTTAAAAGAGTTTTTTTTTTTTTTTTAAGTTTGAGATATGAGCTAAATCATCCTGGAAACACATTACTAAAACCAGTCATATCTTATAGGGGCTCAAAAAAGAAAGCACAAACGAAAAGGGAAGAAGGAAAAGGGAGAATGTAAGAAATCAAAGGAGAGAGGAAAGAAAGAAAAAGGGAAGGAGGGAGAGAAAGAGGGTAGTTTAAAGTCCAATTCTTTAGCTAGTTATTCCACCTGCTAAAGATTCTGTGGTTTTTATTCCTTATAGAAGGCACCACTAATTATAATATTAGGGGATTTTTATAAATTAAATTCTGTAGTTAGCATCTGGGTATGCTAATTATTATTAATGTGAAAGAATTCCACAACGAAAATGGTATACTAACAATGTTAAAATTACTGCTTCCCAATTTTTTAAAATTTACTCAAGCCTATCGTAATTGTTAATTACAGCCTAAATACTACTAAGAACACAGATGCCCACTATATTTATAAAATTATGAAGAATTCTGTCTTTTTTTACTTGATATTTAACATGTAAGCCAGATTAGAAAATTATTTTTTTTTAAAAAAGTGAATTTGAGTTAAATATTTTATTCTACTAGAAATATAAAAGGATGAAAGGTAATAATTTAAATGTCTTCCTTATAAAAAGGTAGCCCTAGGGATCCAGGGACCTGACTATAAAGCTCTTTTGAAAATATGGAGCAGGTAGCTAAGACTCAGGAGTAAGCACACAGAATTCTCCCTCTGGGATTCTCCAGTCTACATTCCTAGTCTGCACCCTCCTTGGCCTTTCCTGCTTGGTGACGTGGCCCATGAGACAGCTGTTCATTTTACAGTGTGTGTGCCCCTGCTTCTCCTGACCTCCAGAATCTCCAGGTTCGTGTCAGGTCAATCACTGCACCTTTCTTAGTCTATGTGAATTTCTGCTCACAACAATCATGCATTGGCCCCACAAGGTGAGCTTGAGTGTTAAAAAAACAAAACAAAACAAAACAAAAAAAAAACAAAAAAAAACTTTTTAAAAGTCACAACATGAAATTACCTCTATGTCACATTAACACCTAAGTCAACTATATTTTTCTACTATCTTTGGGTTTGGGTATGGTAGATCCTGTTAGACAGTTCAAGATTCTGAATTTGAACATACCTTAGTTTCCCCCTAGCAAACATCAAAATCTCCCATGTGGAAGCCAAAAAATTCCAACAAACTCTTTGGTCACCTATAAATATGGTAAACTATAAGCTTTATTTAAATATATTTAGTCAAGTTATTTTACATTAAAAATCAGCATGTACGAACACTTTCAGATGGGAACTAATAAAGCTTCCTTTAAAACAATAAGCCTATAAAACTATTTAAATTTTCCTTAATTATCAGTTAATCAGTTTCAACACCGGACATGTTTTAAGGACATTCTAATAACAAAAGCCAGGTATCTGTATTTTTTCACTAAAGTTTCAAGTTCCTTAGAAGTGTAAATAATTTAAAATTGCACTAGAATGTATGGATCAAAACACAGTTTAATAGGGAGACAAGATTCAATTCTGCCCATATTCCCAATGTTTAGATCTATAACGTTTAACACATTTCAAACTTTATTTCATCAAGGCAGTTTTTCTGATCTGCCTAGGAGTATCATCAGGCATTGCTACACATTTATTAGTGAATGAATGTATACTTTTCACTGCCCATCTCTATGGGATAAGACTCCATTCATAAACACAGACCCAACTGTGAGATACATGGTTTTTATCACCCATCAGAAATCATGCAAAATTTATTCAAATTTTAGGAAGAAATTCTGTCAATTTAGAAACCCTCAGGAAGATAAATCAATTTGTCTTCGACCTCTTAATGTATGTTCATTTTAAAATATTTATGGTCCTGCCTAGAAAGTACAAAAATAAAGTCTATACAATTATTTACTTAAAAAATTTTAAATGGGAAGCATGCTACCAGTTTTTGGAGGAAAAAACCTATTACCAAACCATAAACTGGGTGATTACACATATCAATCTCTTTCATAGAATAAGGAAAGGAACAAAAGAAAATAAAAATGGTAAGGAAAGAAATTGGATTCAGTGAAACAGCTTCTAATCACTGGTTTGAACCAATGTTTTATCCTCTAACACTTGTGTTGGCATCATGTAGACACCGACCATGTTCTGTGGCAGGTATGTGACTCATCTAGGGCTACAAACATGTTTTAGTGCAGAAAGAAAAAGAGTAGTCTAGTTCCACAGTGTCCCACATCTCCCAAAAGGCAGAAGTATGGTGAATCCCTGCTCTGTGAAAGATACTGCCCAACATACAAGCTAATATGCATCCCACGACTTCACATGGAAAAGAATAAGTATTAATGGACTTTAAGATATGAAAATTTTGCTGGAAAATACTGCGATACCATCTGTCCAGATCCTAAGTATGAGCTTCTGATCTTCTTCCTGAAAGGAATTAAAACTCATTCTCAGTTGCTTAGCCTGATTCTAATTCTCCAAGACTTTCCTGCATGAGGAGAGCCATTTCATCATCTTGGCCTTATCAATGGGGAAGACAGAAAAATGTGAAGAAATCCAGAAAGTAGAAGCCAACTTGTGTAATAGGCCTGGACTTCCACTAATGTTCCCTTGTTAACCCTTACTTTCAGTTCAGTACTAATTATGTGGCCAAATGAGTTTAATTTCCAACAAAACAGTTGATCTGTTAACATTAGTTATTCATAGATTTTTGTCTGGATTACCAAAATCCATTACTTCTATATGAAAAGTCATCTATATTTTCTTTTTATCATTTTATCATCTTTTTTATTATCAAAGCAAAAAAATCAAACTATAATATTTTCAACATCAAAGACAGAATATACAAAATATACCAAGGAAAAAAGGAGAGGGTTTATATCATTGACTAAAGTTCAGAACAAATTCACTCACAAAACTGATGCTAAGTGAAATAAATCAACACACATGTTTAAATACTGAAAGCCTACTTTTATATGAGAAATTCAAAATATAAATAAAGAGCAAGGTAAAAGATAATAGGAAGTAGAGAAGTCTTTCAAGTGGGAAGAGAACAAGAGCCCAAGAGAACAGTGAGGGAGGAAGGGAAAAGGGATTTCAAAAGAGAGAGAGAGAGAGAGAGAATCAAAGAAAAAAGTGTAAATAAAGCTTTTGCAAATAGGAAGGGAACCAAGACTTAGAGGTAATGGGGAGACACTGGTGTGGAAGGGAACCAAAAGAGAATCAAAATGTATTATGATAAATGTAATCATTATGTACTAAAAACATACACTACTAGCAAAAAAAAGAGACTTTACTTCTTGCATTGCTGCAATACATTTTGTTTTGTATACTGCGAAATTATTTTTAATTATATATTATATACTGCCTCATTCAACAAAAGGAATTGAGGACTCATACAAAGTTGTGTATGCAAAACACGTTAGAAGAAGAAAAGTAATGGAG